AATTCAATTTATGCTTTATGTGAAATTTGACTGAGTCTATTTGTACACGATTAGCACTATACTTGCACTAGGAGATTGTGTTGTAGAGCAGAAATTCTTATTTTATTGAAGCAATAAGACACCATAAATTGATTGTTAAATTATATAACCTAGAACATAAGTTTTATGATTGACAAACTCAAACCTCCAATATCCCTTAAAAGGATGAACCTATTTATTTAAAAATAAAAAATAAAAAAATCTCACTTGAACTAAAAACTATTTTGATCTGAATCAGCGAAAATAGAAAGGTAAAACTAGAGGAGGAGCATGATTCTTAACAAGTAATTGGCTACTAAATATTACAGTCAAAACTTTAGACAAATCATATCAAAAAGGATATATAACAATGATTCTGTACTTTTCTTTTCAATTTCACATCTAAAGTGGAGAAAACTTGGAAGTGTCAACATAAGAACCACTAATGGCCCACCAAAATATGTCCCTTAGCTACCTAAATTATTATGTCCCTTGAATTGTTTCTTCATTGTCCTTTTCCCTAATTAAATTATATCATTAAGCCACTGGAATAATCTTTCAATGGGATTGCGGTTTCAATTGTTTTGTTTCAAGGGCAAAAGAATTTTTNGGAAAAAAAAATTTTAACCTTCCAAAGTATGCCATTTTTTTGAGTTTGCCATAAATTTTTTTTTTAAATATTTATCAAAATCCTACCGTTGGATTTTTACAAGATTTACGCGTTCTAAAATTTGTCCTACTAGCTTTCAAATGACACCTCCCAATCGAAAATCGGATATCTTAATTATCAGAAAACTTGAACTGAAATTTTTTCCACACACATGTGCTCCTACTATCTTCGTGGATCGATGATAGAGGTATCAATTTTCAGAATTCCACAAATCATACCTCATTTTGTTCGTCTCGTCATGGGCTTTAAAAGCCCTAAATCAATTTTAAAGATTAATATAAAATTTATCATTAATTAAATTAAAAACTATTTTGTGTCATATTAGAGTTTTTAATCGAGGAGACAAGCTGTCAGTTTCGACTACATTAGGAGGCAAATTGTCAAAAAAAAATAAAAATTATGGCAAACTCAAAAAATGACATATTTTGAGAGGTTAAAAAAAAATTTCCCATTTATTAATGAGTCTGTAGAGTTTTTAATCACATTCACACTGTTCTTATCTGTAATACACGATCTTGGAAATTTTGGAAATTCTTGAAACTTAATAATTAAATTTTGGAGTTGATTTTTAGTAAGACGCTGGACATGTCTAATGGTCAGCGTAGCTATAATTTTTCAAAGCATATTTTCAAATCAACATGGCATACTATAAAAAATAACACTGATACAAATATAAAATTTAATAGTGTAGTTATGCATTGTTCTTAAAAATATTGTGACGGGTCGATCATAGGAGTTTTCATGTGATGTGAGGTGTTTTATGTTTGTCTGAATTGTATCAGTGAACATGACATGAACTTTATATGAATTTTTAGCAAAATGTGGTGATTCTGCAGTTATCACGCTGAGCACGTAATTGGGCTTAGTTTAGCCCATACTATTTTCATATTAGTCTATGGGCTATGGCCTAGCCTGGCAGACTTTGAAGAAATTGGTATTGGTTTCAGGGCCCTCAGTTGGGCTTAGACATGGACTACTTGAAAAATGTACAAAGCAGAACAGGCTAGGAAAAATAAAAAATTGTAATTTTTCTTTTAATCTTGCTTTCCTTTGATCAAATCCTCAAACTGTGGGCTACAAATCTCCTGGTTCAATAACCAGATCAGAGGTTGGAACAGAATTTAATAATATTTTTTAATATAATTAGTGAGCATCACGTGTGATGTAACATATTCCTTAAAATCATTTTTTTAAACTTTATTTCAAATATAATCATTTATTAATACAATACTCGTGTATTACACGGGTGTTGAATTAAAAAGCCTTTGTATAAAATATTAATATTTTTCTTAAACTAAAATAATTTAATTTTATATAAAATATTACTTTGAGTTTTAATTAGATTGTCAAATTATATTTTTTTAATCATAATAATTAAACACTCGTACATTAAATGAAAATGTCAACTCGTGTTGAATTTTTTAACTTATATTATATAAAAATATCGATATTATTTACTACTACATAAGTATAAAAATATATATCTTAAATAAATAGAAATAATATGGTGATATGTATATGAATAAGTGTAAAATATGTTTATTTAATATTAAGAAAAATAGATCATGTTTTTTTAATTAGATGCCTAATACATCAAGTGTCGTATCACTCGTGCTTCACAGTTTTTTAACTTTATAAGTAATTTTAGAATTTAGATAAATAATTATTTATTTTTATTGGATTGATAACATACCAATTAGATTTGAAATAAATATCATTTTCAAAAGAATACATACCAATTTCTATTACTTTAAAACATAATTTATAGTTTTATTTGATATAATTTAATTTAGTTTGATAAATAAATTTAAATTTTATTTTTAAGGATATATATTTTTGTTTTGTATTTTATATACATAATATGGATGTCAAATCGAAAATCGTTAAAAGATAGTTAATTTGATATATATGATAAATAAAACTAATGAATGAATTATATAAGAAAATAAAATGTGATGTATGGTAATGTAGGTAAATGAAACATAAAATAGTTTGTGTTAACTAATTGTAGAAGTAAAGAAGGAAAAAAAAATCATGGATTTAGTGTGATAAAAAATATTAATTTATATCCAAGTCTAACTCCAAAGCATGATTTTTTGCCAAATAGAATTCCGAAGCATGAGAGTTTGACATATAGGCTCAGCGCATTTTGAAATTATATATAGAGTGGATCTGTAAACATCTCATTATGACAAAAAAAGAAATACAAAATATAAAAAATGATATATATACATACATATATATATAAGGTTTGATTATTTATAAAATTGAAATAATTTCCGACCAATAAACTTCTCTTTACTATATCTTAATATTAATTGATCAATATGGTATAAAGTTGCACAATTAGTAAATCCAATTTTGGTAATTTTATGGTATAAAATGAGCGATGTTATTTGAGCTATGTGATGGCTATTTTTATTTTTGGTAAGAAATGTGCTTTATTAGTAAATCCAAGTTTTGTATAAAGTGAGCGATGTTATGGTAAAAATCCAGTAGTTTTTAATTAATCCATTACTATACATAATTTAAATTGTATTTGGTATAATGCAATGTTATAAATAATTTTTTATTGCGATTTTACTGGAATTGAGGTATGTGCATGATGACAATTTTACTGGACTTAAGGTATGTGATGTCAATTTTAATTAAATATAAAGTGGGTCATTTTAATAAATCCTGTTATTTTGAATTTAGTAAAATAATTAATTAAGTACAACTGAATATGATTTAGTGAAAAACGTATAATTTTTAGGACTTGATTAACTATGTTGGATATTAGTTAAGTGAATATTAATTAATCAATTTTTGTTCGACCTACCGGATATCCCGACTCGTTGTTCTTAAGCCGACCTGATATGGTATTCAATATCAATACGGGTGCTAGCAAAAAGTTTATGTTTCAACTAATAAAGAGGTAGAAATTTTATTTTAAATTACATTATTATTATTATTATTATTATTATTATTATTATTATTATTATTATTTAATTAAATAATTAATATACACTCGTCGCTTACACAATTTACCCTCCTCTATTATAATATTTTTTATAATATATATTCTATAATGAACTTAACTGATAAATTTATTTAACTGATAAATAATAGAATTATTTTACATTTAATATCGATGTGTAATTAAAATTTTATTATAAAGGTGTATATAAGTTTAAAGTAATATAAAATAGTTATTTTGTTATAAGAAGCCAAAGTTTGATAAAATATGAAATTTGTTGGTTTCAAAGATAAAGAGAAACAAAAAATATCACGTCATATTAGTTGGGTTATTTATTATAATTTTGTAAATATTCATAATTAAAAAATTATTATCTTACGAAAAAATTATACAACTATTCATCCCAATAATATGAAAGTAAGTTTGACCAAGTAAGAATGGAAAGCTATGTTTTCTCTAGGCAAACTCACCAGTCACCACCTCCATCACTCTTAAATATTTTTATCATAATACAGATTTTCCCACAAAGTTCTTGAAGTGACAAAGGCTTCAAAGGTTTCAGTTTTCTGTTTGAGTAAGTATACCCAAGTGTTTCTAAGTTGAACATAAACCTTCATTCTCATTCTCCAGAAAGAAAACATTACAATCACTCATAGCTTTTTTTACACTATCCAAACTAGCATGGCAGATCTAGTGTACCAAACATCTAGACTAATTTTATTTTTCTATTCATGTCAAATATTATATTATAAATAAAAGTTTGAACTTGACGGGTCAACGGGTCGGATTGGCTTTAGGTTGGATTTAACTATAATCAACCGTGAGACGTCTAGTGGCCACCTCTATACATAAGCATAATAATAATTTACAAATAGTAGCATTACATATACTTACCTAAATAAGTCCATTAAGCATTTTATTTATATTGACCCCGCATTTCTATTTCTACATAAATATACCAAAACCGTAATGTAAAATAATTTCCATAATATTATGTTGGCACATCAGATCACACTTAAAGGGAGGCACGTGTGACCTTCGAGTTTGGGGCCCATAGTCAAACTCAAACTCATTGTTTGTTTAGTGTTTACATTTATTANNTTAAGCAGTTTATTCCGTGTTCTCGCGTCCACCTCGTTTTCACGTGTTCCCTCCCTTTCCCACTCCTTTGCATTACTCACTCAAATTCCCAAATCTCAAACACTAGAAATACTATAAAAACTCCACTCATTATTTTCTCATTCACTCACGACTAGTCAACTCATCAAACTGCAGACATTATCCAACACAATAAACAATAATTATATATACATAATTACATATATATAGTCTATAGATATGGAACACTCACCATTATCCAATTTGGACTCCTCGGAAGCATCGTCTTCCTCGGCGGACGACCTCATCCTGGCGTCGAGCCGGCCCAAGAAACGAGCCGGGAGGAAGAAATTCCGGGAGACACGTCACCCCGTGTACCGTGGCGTGCGGATGCGGAACGCCGGAAAGTGGGTTTGCGAGCTTCGGGAGCCCACCGAGCAGCGCCGGGTGTGGCTCGGGACGTACCCGACTCCCGAGATGGCCGCGCGGGCCCACGATGTGGCGGCCCTGGCCCTGAGGGGCCGGGCAGCGTGCCTCAACTTCGCCGACTCCGTGTGGCGGTTGCCGGTGCCGGCGTCGACTGATGCCCGGGAGCTGAGGAGGTGCGCGGCCGAGGCTGCCGAGGCTTTCCGGGAGAAAGCTCCGGCGCCGGATGAAAGGGCGGAGGACTACTCGGGAGAGTATGATGATGTTATGGCGGAGCTGGCGGAGGGGGCTTTGATGTCGCCGCCGCCGTGCCTGGGGTGGCGGTTCAGTTGGGATGATGAGGTGGCGAGTGATGATCCTGCTGACTTGGAACTGTGGAGTTTCTAAAAAAAATTTTGGGTACTCTTTTGCTGACGTGTATTAGTATATAGGCTTAATTAGTAGGATAAAGTGTAATGACTTTTTCATTATTTTACCTTTTTTTTGTTTTGTTTTTTAATAATTGTGTGGTGGAAGAAGTGTGGAATTAGTGTACCACGTGGGACATGGAGTGTCGGATACGTAGGGCATAGCTTTTTTGTTGCCACATAGTTTATGTTGTTTAAACCGTGTAATATGTTATTATTATATTGTTTGAATGTGTCCAAATATAATCTTTTTAGAGGTATGATGATTATTGAGTATTGACTGCATATGCATGGAAGAGATAGGATCAACCTTTGGACCCAACAATTAATAAAGCGAAAAATCCTCCTTTTTCTCTCTCTGCGAAAAAACAAAAAACTCTAAAACACCACTAACTCTTGATCGTAGCTTTGTGCGGGTCATGGCAGCCAGTGGTTCTCGCCGTTCAACCTTTCTCTCCGGATTCAGGAGGAGTCTTTAGGCGCCATATTTCGCCCCAGCCATGGGAGACCGCAGCTGCAAGGTAGCAATAAGTGTGTCTATTTTTGTGCTTTTTGAGGAATTAAGGTTGTGCGTTCAAGCTTCGTGCGAGGTTCGGCCAGGCGTTGGGCCATCGATCTACACGAATTCTCGCAGCTCTGGGCGGTGCCTCTTTGGAGTCTTGTCTCGATCCCTGGTGTCTTTAGCGGCTCCCCCTCTTTTTTCCAGTGCCGACATTCAGCGGAGTTCAGATCTAGTCTGAAAATTTGACTAGGTGATTTGAGTGACCGCAGTTTTTGGGTTTGGAGTTTAGTTGTGTTGCCTTGTTGGATTTCTTAAATTAGCTGTAGTTTGGGGCTCGGTTGACAGTTTAGGTGATTGTGTGGTTTTTCTGCTAGGAGTAAGGTAGGTTTTACTCTATTTGTGTATTAAGTGTGTGTGTTGGTTTTACTTTTGTTTTTGTTTTGTTTAATTAAGTTCAGCAACGTCTGGAGTCCAATCTTCTTCATGGAGTTTTAGTCTACTTTATGGAGTCGTGTTTTAGCATTTTTTTGGTCTCCTAGATGGAGGTTGTGTCCCCTTTGACTCCAGTATTGTCCCAAAGGTGGTAGGTCTAGGTTTTTGATTTTTTGGTGTCAGTTGATACCCGTTTATACTCTTTTGAATTTTCTAGTTTTTAATATAATTTCTGTTTAAAATAAATAAATAAATAAAATAAAAGCGCATGCACTTTGGGTGTTTGTGGACATACTTTTGATTTTTGAATAATGAGGTGAATTTTTAAATTTATTTCATAAACAATATTTTTTACCACATACAAAAATTGTCATCACGATATATAGTTTCGTATATTGGGTTTTAATAAATTAAAAGGTTAAAATCACTTGCTCATTTCAAGTATATAAAATATATCTGGAAAATTGCAACATTATTATATTATTCAATATTAGCACTAATAAAATTATAACGACACTTAAATAACTGAAAATGGCATGTTATCATCGGGTAAGACCCATATATTAATTGAAAATTTTCCCAAAGTACATTTGCTGGCAAGTTCAAGCTTCAAATCTAACATAAAATCCCCTGATGAACTTGCCGAGAATTTTCCATGTCATTTTAATTGCAACAACAAAAAAATTAATTATTGATGCGCCAGGTGATCTGGTGAGACACAATGCGCGTGAAAATCAATAACAAAGATTAAAAAATCAATGAAGAAGGTCAACTCTGGTCACTCCTCAGTCTCACAGAGTGAGTGAGAGATACTGAGATTAGCACCAAAATCACTCACTCGTTAATGAAACAAGCCACCAACTTGACTTAAACAAAACTAAATCAAAATCAAGATTCAAAAAATTCAAGCAAAACAAACAAACTAATTTTCTAATCAAACATAAGATTCAAATTGAGCCTCAGGTAGAAGAAGCATCCATGCTTCTTCTAATCCCATCTTTTGAAGCTACCTCTCACTTTCAGGGACCCCTTTATAAGATGAACCCTTTCTCACTCCCTTTTTACACTCACCACTTCACAAATTTTCACTGCACAATAAATCAAGCAGGCTCCACACACACCTGCTCTGCTTTTCTCTTTGCTCCATTATATACCTTCTGATTTCTTCAGCTCTCAAACCACATTTTTCCATAGTTTCATTTAGCTCAAATTCCAAATAGCAATATAGTTTTTATACATATATCCTGTTTTCCCTCCATTTTTTCTATGGATTCGAGTTTGATTCGGGCTAGGCCAACGAGGCCGCTGCCGAAGCCCTCTTTGCTGAAAGACCACTTGCTGGACGACATGAGCTCGTGCTCATCCAACGGCTTCAAATCCTTCCCCAGAAGTTCACAATGCTGCACCACCGTCCGATTCCTTCACGTTCTCCACCGCAAAACACAGAAACAGAAAAAGCATCTGAAATTCGGAAAAAACCCTCCAAAATCGGCTCTCTCGGCCTTCAGAAAAGTCTTCTTCCCCGCGAAACGCCTGCCCTTCGCCGCCAGGACGCAGGGGAAGACGAGAGTTGGGAGCCCGTCTCTGGCCCGGAGCCTTTCCAGGAAGATAACTGGCTTCTGGAAGAGGAAGAAGAAATCGGACGAGGAGGAGGTAATCGGACGGTGGGGATTGCCCGATCGGAGGACGGAGGATGAGTCGGAGCCGTTGAATGAGTCAGGGGATAGTAGGAGCGACAGCTGGTCGTCCGGGAGCGGTTTCACCGTGTCCGTTGATTTTTTATCCAGCGGTAAATATTCTTCTCCGGAGTTGAATTTAAATTTACTCGACAATGGAAACGACGTCGTAAGGCCGGAAAAGGAGGGTGGCGGCGCTTGTACAAAGTCCGCTGCGGATAGTACTAAGGTTAGATTTATTTATTTGTTTATTTTTAATTAATTTATAATGAAAATTTTTAGATGAGTGTGTGGGTTTTATCTGAAACGCGAATTTGAACTTTTGATTGCAATGTTGTATTGCCGGAGACTTCAAATTTTAGTTAATTAATTTAATTATTAATGAGGTGTCGGTTAGACGAATTTAAGAAATAATAAAGAAAGGGGCAAAAGGGAAATTTGAAATATGAATTGGCTAGGAAAAATAAAATAAAGTTAAGAGTAAGGCTGCAATTCCGTTATGGAACGGTTTCGTTGGATTTGTAACCGTTAGATGACATGTAGATTAGATTCACATGTGCATCTAACGGTTACAAATTTCAACGGAATAATTTCATAACGAAATTGTAACATTTTCTTAAAGTTAGAGATGAGGGTAAATATGAGATTTCACGGCGGTAAAGATGGAGGCGAAGCCAGCTGGAGCTGCACGTGCGGGTTAGTGAGACAATTGGTGATTTAGGCATACTGATGTCCACGTGGATTTGCACTAATTTCAGTATTAATAATCATTTTTATTTGTATAAGTCATATATAAATTATAGATTGACATACAATTCATTTTAGCAGTTAATTAAGTACACTTAGTTATGCTTTATTATCTGAATTTATTATATAACATGGTGGGCCTTCTTAGATTTTGGTCATGTCACATATGTTTGTTTAAGCCCCATTTTTGTGGGGCTAATAATTGTAAGACATGTTCACTTATCAGGTTGGACAAGGTTTGAATTTGGGCTCCACTTTTCACCCACATATACCTATGATTGGAACTATATTATTCTAAATTAAATTGAATAAAGTAGAGTTTTTCAAAGCTTTACTATTATTGTAATTTTTTTGTTCCGGGATGTAAATATTATTATTATTATTATTAGTATAATTATTGCACAAACAGGCAAAGCTCATATATATTGATAAACGGATACTGTTGTATTATGTTGGGCTAACTATTAGATCAACATAATTTTTTTAAATAAATATGCATAAATTTATTTATCAGTGTCATACTTTAAAATCCATTATAAACTTATGTACGACATTTGATAGTATAATTACGCATTCTTATTTAAATAGTATGAAGAGTCGATCCGTGTAACAATCAAATTGTCTAGCACAAAAATTTATGATCAAATTGGCTGGAAAACACTCAAAAAACACGGGGCTCTACCCAATCATGTTCAAAAGCATTGTAGGGGTCCAATTCAACTGCCTCATTGCTGGCTCTGAATCCATGTTTAATAATTTGGACTTTTTTGGACCATTTTGCTCTAGAGCAACATGGGAATTAAAATAATTTAAATCCTCCCTTACATGGCCCCGGCCGGATCGAAAGTTAAAAAAACCGACACTGACAATGACAATTACAGTCTATAATATTTCACTGTAAAAACAATAGAACATTTACAAATCTATGTATACACAGTTAGAAACTTCGTAGGAAGTATGTTCAGTACTATGTCATGAGGCCTTGAATACTAATTATATATAAGTTACATTTGGACGTTACTACATGGAGTTGATGTTTCCAAAAACTAACGAATTCTACCCCATAATTCTATGTTTTTTATATATTAGCTATATTTATGTATATATAGTCTAAATTTTTCGATTAACATTTAACGGCAGATCAAGCAGTTGACTAGTGATTGTCAAGAGAAGGAACAGTTTAGTCCGGTATCGGTGTTGGACTGCTCATTTGACGAAGAAGACGAGGTCTCCTCTCGTTTTCAACACAGGCTCGCTCATGTGGAAGGTAATTATATATAATGAATGTCTAATCTTCGATTAGAAAACGTCGTAGTTAACTCTCGATGAGTAAAAGTTCAAACATAGTTATACTTTTTTTCATGTATAGGAACAAAAGCAAAGCTCATGAAAACAATCCAAAGGTTCGAGGGTCTTGCTAAGCTCGAGCCTATCAACCTAGCTACGAAATTCGCATCGCACTCGGATTTCGATCACGAATATTCCTCGGGTTCTTTTGATTCGTCTCCTGTCGACGAGAAATCGACATTGGGTGCCAAAGACAAAGAAGATGAAGACGAGCAAGAAGCATTAGAAATGATGTATCAAATGAAGAACACATATTTGGCATCCCTCAACTTAGAAACGGAAACTTTGGTTTTGGATTTCTTCAGAGAGAAAATTTCGGATAAACGCGCGAACTCGGAAAAAATGAGATGTGGGCCCTTGTTCGAGAAGGAGTTGGTGGAGGAAGCGCGAGATTGGATAAACGGAGAAAAAGATGCAAAGGAAAGTTTCATGGGTTGGGAGGTTGAGAAGGGCAGACGAGCGCATGTCGATGACATGGAAAAACGAGGCGAATGGAGAGGATTGGATGAAGAAATAGATGAGGTGGGCTTAGAGCTGGAGAATGTTTTCTTTGTTGAGCTTATGGATGAGCTGTTGCTAGAGATCTCAAGCTAAGGTTAAATACTAAGTTTGGTTGTGTTGGTATGATAAAGGCTCGAGGTTGTTTTCGTCATTTTGTTGCTTTGCTTGGGGGATGAATATTGATAGGGTGATTAGGACAACCTTGACGAAATTTTGTTCTCTATAGTGGAGTGTATTTGTCTCTTTGGGTTTTGGCTTATGTAATTTAACTTGTCTTCAACATTGTGTTGAGTTGAGAAGACTAGCTATTATTGTCAAAGTAACTAATATATTGGATTCAATAAGGATGTTGTTACAATCAGTTAGTCGGTCATATTTTTTAAAATAATTTGAGCATTTTATTGCACAAGACATACTTTAATTAAAACAATATAAAAAGGGCATATCTCGGTAGGGGGCGGATCAAATGAGACCAGCTCTTAAAATGGGACCAGCTCATAGCAACTACAGACAACTAACCTAGCAACTACAGAGGACTAACCTAGCTACTACTAACCTAACAACTACAGAGAACTAACCTAGCAACTACTAACTTAGCAACTACAGAGAATTAATCTAACAACAACAGACAACTAACCTAGCAACTACTTAGAACTAACTTAGCAACAAGATAGAAATAACCTAGTAACAACAGACAACTAACCTAGCAACTAGACATAACTAACCTAGCAACATCAGACAACTAACCTAGCAACAAGAGACAAATAACCTAGCAACTACTTAGAACTAACTTAGCAACAAGAGACAAATAACCTAGCAACTACTTAGAACTAACTTAGCAACAAGATAGTTTCTGGGATCACATCTTCTGGGTTTTGGGCGAGGGCGATGTTAGTTTCTGGGATGAGTGGTGGGTAGGTGATAGGCCGTTGTCTAGGGATAGGCAAGTGTCGCATTCCCCCTACCTGCTAGTGAGTGAGCTTTGGATGGATGGTTCGTGGGATAGGGGGAAGCTAGATAGGGAGTTAGGTTGTGGTGCGGATTTTAGTGAGCATTCATTAAATCAGATCTAGCAGATCCCTATCTCGGGGGACGGTTCGAATGGTATGAGGTGGAGACTTATATCATCGGGTGTGTTTTCTACTACATCGGCTTGGGAGCAGATTAGGCTGAGTGATCGGCCTAATCTTCTCTTCGGGGCCATCTGGAGCGACCTTTACACCCCTACCATTTCGGTATTCCTTTGGCGCCTTCTCTTGCGCCGGATACCTGTGGACACTGTGTTACACGCGAGGGGGATCTCCTTCCCCTCTCGGTGTGTGTGTTGTTCTGAGACTGGACGCTATGAGACCGAGACCTTTACCCACCTTTTTATAGAGAGTGAGATTGTGAGGAGAGTGTGGGAGCATTTTGCCACCTGGACACATATATCCCTACCCACCACAGAGAGTTTCTTTAACCTTCTGAGTTTTTTCTCACAAAGCACACACTTTAGACACGTGAGCTTCCTCATTCCTTGTCTGATCCTTTGGTTCACCTGGACAGAGAGGAATAGTGCGAAACATAGGGATATTACTTTTTTGTTTTCTCACATTATTTTGCAGGTAGAGAGACACATTTCACTCCTCATAGCATTAGGCAGGCTCACGGCCGGAGACTGGACAGGCTGCACACCGCCACACCGCTACAGGGTGGCTTCTCCACTGCCTGTTCGTCCCCCTTGGCCCAGAGCTGTTGTTTGGCTTCGACCCAACTCTCCGTGGGTCAAGCTGAATACGGATGGCTCCTTTGATCACCATATCAGAGCTGCCGGAGGAGGAGGCTTGATCCGGGACCATAGCGGCAACATCATCACCGCCTTCCACGCGCCCCTTCAGGCCTCCTCGAGCTACGACGCAAAGATTCAGGCATTACAGATTGGCCTTCAGATTGTTGTCCACCTCTCTAGTCATATTTGAATTGAGCTGGATGTTGCGGCTGTCGCCACCCTCCTGACTTCGGGCCACCAAGGCTTGTGGCAGATTCAACACCCGCTTATGCGCATTAGAGCTCTACTTCGGTCTGTCCATCACAGGATCACGCACATTTTCCGTGAGAGGAACAGACCTGCTGACTATCTTGTCAGCCTTGGCGCCACCATACCAGACCCACATACATTTCAGACCGACACTGCACCACTCCGCCTTCGCACACTTGTTCGGATGGACCAACTTGGATATCCATCATTCCGCTTTCATTAGATTAGGTTTATTGTTCTCATTAGATTAGACCTTTATTCCGGGCATCTGTTAGCCCGAAGACAGTCTTTGTTTTGTTTTTTCTGTTTTTTCGTTATTTCTTTTTTCTTTTTTTTTTGTTTTATTAGTGAGACTCTGTAGACTGTTGTTCGTTGATATATTGGGCCCCCGTTTTTGGGGTCTTGATCTATGCACAGGTTGGGGATCCAGCCTAATCCCCCGTCAACTACAGAGAACTAACATAGCAACTACAGAGAACTAACCTAGCTAGTTGGAAGGTTAGTTGTCAACGGTCAACGCCGGAAGTCAACGGATTTTCGCCGGAAGTCAATGCCGGAAGTCAACGGTCAACGCCGGAGTCAACGGGTCAAAATAATATTTAAATAGTTAAAATAATAAAAAGAAAAGAGTAAATCTTGGCCACACATGATATACCAAATCTTGTGGCTAAAAATGAGTCTCACGTCCTCACTTTAAAAAAGCGGCCGCATTTGAACCAATCCCTATCTCGGTATATATATTTATTTAAAAAATTATGATGAGTCGACTCATCTAACTGTTAGGTCGATTCATCCGAGAATTTGTATATTCTATTGGATTCGTTTTGCCTTAAGTGTAATTTGTAATCATTGACATGGACAATATTGTCCTTTTCCTTTTTGGCAAGGATAGAAATTTAATTAGTCAATACTAGAAGGAGAATGTTAAAGTTGAATTCTCACTATGATCTAAAACTTTATAAGAGTATCAAACATAAAGGTTGTCTGACTGTAAAACTAGCTTAAAACATATATATTTAATCGGAGGAGATGGAAGAAATCGTGATCGTTGAGAAGATAATAAACCTACTGAAAGTTATGATGTTATTTTCTTGCATATATGTTAAATATCGACAAAGAACGGTAATAGAAGTGTGAGGCATTGAAGCACACGGCCATC